AGAGGGCGGGGCCGCCCGGCGCCGCGCCTCCCGCGCCCTCCTCCTGCATCGACGACTCCAGCACGGGCTCCGCCACGCCCACTCCTGCGAGATCATGTGGCCCTTGCAAACCCTCCTCTTTGTACTCGCACATGGAGAGCTCCGACGGAGGGCAGTGAATCCTAGCTTTCCGGTTTATAAAACGCTCAAAAAGTAAGAAACCTCCAAATTTAAAATCAGATTTGATCATATATCAGGATCTATTGTATCCAGTTAAACGGTCATTTGCAAAATTAATAGTTTTTATTCAAAACATAATAAAACACATTTTACAACAGTTCATCGTTAGATGAATAAGACAGGGCGTTTAAAATATAGCAAACAATTTAAAATAGTTAAAAGTCGAAAATCTAAAGGTTAGTTAGTACATGTTTCATTGGGAAAAGAAACTAATTAATTTTCGTAGATTTAATTGTAATAATGATATTTTTGGAGAGGATTTTTCGGAAAACAGCTTAATGAAGAACGAGTATATTTTTACACTACCATAAAGAGAAGCATTTTTTATTGAAACATACTGTTTATCGAAGCAGCCAAATGTTTCGAAAAATCGCCATACTTAGTAACAGTTGAGACTTTTTTACAAGTAGTGACAGTGATTTACTCTCAGCTTTCCATTCCAATGGTCTTAAAGCACGCGTAGATCAACACTTGTGTTTTATCAGTATCACCTGTAAAATTTGTTTCAAGTGCATAATCTCCAAACCGTTTTCTCGGTATTATACTAATAAAAATTTATTAGCTATCTTCCCGACATTCGCTTCAGTAATAAGCAACGTTTCAAAGATATATCTAATTTGATTTAGGAACGCTAAAAACTCTGCCTGGTCAACGGTAATGCAATACAGAGAGCGTCGCGAAAAAAAAACACTTAATGTTTATCTTCCCGAGCTTCAAAACGACAAGTTTTAAATTGTGTGAATTGATGACAAGGAAACAACGCTGAAAGTGCACTGCCCGGAGTCGTTGACTTTAGGCTGAGCGTCCAATGAGGGATGCGACAAGCAGCGGCGTTTGGCGGGAAGCCTACTCTTAGTATAGCTTGTTCCGGGATTAGAAATACATTAAAAATATATTTTTTAGAAGTAGCCGTGAATATGCGAGAAGAACCGTCAGGGATATTCTGTGTGCCATCTAATTGCAAGGCCGTTTGCGGAGAGTTTATGCGGGTGAAGCAAATCACCCGCATGTACCCAACAGCATGTACTTTCAGCGTTGGCAAACTGTCCGAGTGGAACATTTGTCACATGACCCGGATTGACTGAAACTTCTCCATCAGTTTCAAAATATGCGCATAAATACATCCAATTGCGTGTAAAAAAAGCGTTTCATGTTATATGTTAAAACTTCATGAAGTTGAAATAGCTTCTCATACAAATTCAAGATGGCTTAAACGTTTACCCTAGAAACACACACTCTCTCTTTCTTTCTTTCTCTCTCTCACACACGCACGCACACGCACCTACTCAGCCGCGCGCACGCGCGCACACACACACACACACACACACACCAAAAATTATATACTTGTTAACCCGCAGCTTGTGTGCTCTGAACAAATATGATTAGCACAGACGAACTGAAATTTTGTGAAGTGTTTGTGATTCGCTGTGACGATACAGTTATATTAAGTCGTAGGCTTCCGCGGCCGGAGTCGTGTGAATGATCTTGGCTCTCCGGGTGACGCCGCGTCGATGACTGTGTTGCCGACGTTTCGACCATCTTATCGTGGTCTTCCTCATGGCAGGACTACACAGCCTTCGACGTGCCGTCACTCAGACAGCCAAGATTATTCACACGATACAGTTAATTTTATCTGTTCCTTAAACGGATAGATCATTTTTCAGATTTAAATGTTATGTGAATGGACAGGTTAATGGACTAGTCGTATGAATAGACTGTGTACAGGTTGACACTAAACCTAAACTTTGTACCGAGAAAGATATAAATATGTTAGGCTATGTGTTGGGTGTGCAATCCGAGAAAATGTTTTCATTTACCCCTTTTTTCCAGATTGTAAGAGAGGATAAGAGGAGTCTTATCTGAAGATGCTACGATAGTGTGATGCTCACGGTTTGACACAACCGTTATGTCCCGCGTATTGTGTTGCACCAAGACGGACCTTCATCGTACTATTACGGGATTTTGACGAGATGTGCATAATCATTTCTCAGAATGTATTGCGAGAAAATTAAAACATATCGAGCATGTACACTAAAATGTTGCTTTTCTGTTTAGTAAGAAATGCATATTCTCATTAAACTCTCAATATTCTCGCCAGGGAAACTGACATTCTGTATCAGCGGGCTTGGGTCATAACCCCACTCCCGAAAGCCAACATTTCTGTTATTTATTAATTTTATTTGAAATGAAAACGATACCTTGGACCACACCCAATTGAGTACTCCTTTTATCAGTTATTCTTTTTACTTTCTCGCCTTGCTTGCCAACATTTTAAAAGTAGTTTTGAAAAACAAATATTATGGGGAAGTCTCATGTAAAATTCCCCCCCCCCCTCAAATACATTTTACAAATAAGCCTTTTTTGCCTGGCGGCAGCGTGAGTGGACTCACCTGTGGACGGCTCCAGCAGGATGGGCCGTTCGGAGGAGGGGGCGGGGCTGGTCGCGAACGCGTCCGATGGCCTCTCCGTGGCGGCGGTGGCGCCGTCGGCGGCCGTGGTAGGGGTGGGGCGGATGTGTGTGGGTGGCACAGGGGCGCCGCCCATCACGTTGGTTTCCGGACCCTCGCTGGTGGAGGTGTTGGCCGGAGTCGGCGCGGCGGGCGCGAGGGTGGGTCGTGAAGCGATGCCGCCTACGCGAAATGCAACACACGCACTCGTAGACAATTTCTTGACTCGTTCACACTCGTAAAGTCTCGTTTACAAGATATTTACAATTTTCCATTAATTATATTTGCATTTTCAATGCCCGAACTTTGCAATGCGAATGCTATCGTACGGGTTACGTACACAATATTGGGCACGACTTCATGGAAACACATACTCTGTTACTTTTCCGTAGAGCCTGGTGTACACCGAAAATACAATTTCCAACCACGAAATTGTTTTTTGAATGCATGAATTGAGAAATTAGTATGCCACTTTCATAGTCGCACGCCAGTTTCGTACGAGTTACGATATTTTTACTTTCTCGTATTATACTTGCGTAGTGTAGAGACAGATGTTAACGCAGCTAAAAAGAACGGTTTGTTAAAAAAAACCACCCCAGTGTTATGGGTCCCTTTTAACGAAAAAGTGGAAAATTCTTACATATTATATGTATATGTAATGAATGATTTTCTCTAATATGTTGTGTAGTCAAAATCCGTGTTTTGTGAGTCTTTGATACCGAAAAATTGTTTGTTGGTTTGTGTTGAAATTCGTTTGTCCGTCCGTCTGTATGCAACTGTAGTGCCTACACGGTTTACAGAATTGCTAGCAAGAATGCAGAACGCTGATTTTTTCGAACTGATTTGGCACAGCCCTTCGAATTTGAAACGGATATTGCAATTTTGGAGGTTCTTTCTATGAAGGCGCAAGGACTTTCCCAACATGATTTTCGATTGTTTTTAAATCTTCTAAAATGTAAAAGGGAACTATTCATACTATTACTATTTACCCTCAGAGGTTTGCTATTATACCTCAATGGTCGCAAGGGCTTCCTTTGCGGAACCCTGATGTTTGGATCTGCGCCCCAGCCCTACCAAAGATATCTGCGTGTTGGAAACATTTTTACTGGTTCAATTAGTTTTCTTCATTAAACTTTTTGTAAGTATAGAGTCCTGAATTTAATGGAAGAATGTCATTTTCATTTACACTTTTGAAATTGATTAAACCGTAGCATTGCATTGCATACTTCAAGAAGGAATATTATGTTTTAAAACAAGTAGTTCTGAAAACACATAAAAATGTGTTCTAGAAAATATATAATTTTGCGAAAAAAAAGTTTTAAAAATGCGATAATTTACGATAAGATATGTAGCATAAAACAACGGATTTGATTGGTTGGAGTGGCCCAGTAGAATAGTGACGAAGTGAGAAAACGGGTGGTCAAAAATAAAATGTGCGAAGAGAGCAGTAGGCGAGTAGGAAAATGGAGGACTGGCCAATTAGATGAAGGGGGAGGAGGTGTGGTTGAAGGAGGAGGGTGCGATTGGGGAATAGGGTGGGAGGGAGTTCGTCGGCGGAGGGGCGTGGCATCTGCCCGGTGTGGGCTGGTGCTTCGAGGCGCCTCCTTCTCTTGCTGCTGTCAGCCGGCTTCTTCCGTCTTATCTCTAAGGCTTGGGCAAGTCGTGCGCGGGCGGCGGGGAGGCGGGGGCGGCGAGGTGGCGTGTACGTGGGAAGCGCGAGGGCGGGGGAGGGGCGGATGGGGTGGGGTTTGGTGGGACGGCGATCGAGGAGCTGGTGCGGTGAGGGGGGCGGGGCGTGGTCGGAGTGCACTGGGGATTGGCTCCGGCAACGGCCCGCTGTGGCTCATGTTATCGGCATACGACCTCGCCTGCGCGTCTGTGCCGCAGTCGTCTGTCCCTCGCGGGGGGCGCGGCGAGGCCTCGACAGTCGACGTGCCTGATTCGTCGCCGTCGTCGTCGAGAAGCGAGTGTCTCGGGGGCGGCGCGGGCGGGGGGGCATGTGCAGGCCGTCCCGGTGGACGGCAGCAGCTCGATAGGCGGAAGGTGACTTCGGTGGATGGAACGGGCAAATCGTCGGGCGGAGGGGGAAGCTCACTATTGTGCGGGATGGGAGCGGAGCGCGCGAGCGCTGCGATCCGAGCTGCGGGAAGGCTGCGCGGCCGGCCGGGGAGGCGGCGGCGGCTGGGTGTGGGGTGGCCGCTGCTGCGGTGGCCGTGGTCGCGGAGGCGGTGGGGGCCGCTGATTCGCCACCGGTACCACCTGCCACAGAGCGCTCGCTGAGGGAACAACGCACGAAACACCACCCGCGGAGGGCTGGCCAGTGGGGCACTGGCAGATGAAGGGAATGGCAAACATTTGATTAATCATAGGCTCATTTCCACACTAACATGTGTACATTAAATACACTGAATATTTAATATATTGATACCTATTATGAACGAAACATTACTCTTATGAATTTGCACTACGGGTGCCACCTACAGACTACCATCTCGTAATTTTCCTGGCCTTGAAAGTAATAGAACTATCGGTGTCTATTTCATAAAATATAAAATAGTCCGGGATTATACAAATACATAAAATGTAATTTCCTTTTATGAGATGTTTCACCGTATGTCAATTGTCTAAAAGTGATCATCTTCGACCCTTCTACATGCTCAAGAACAGCGTTTACCAACGGAATCGGTATCGACCCCCTGGGATCGATGGAATTTTAAAGGGGGTCAATGACGATCAAGCGGTCGATGGGGCATCGATATGCACCGACAAATGATATGTGTAATTTAGATCCTATTGATTATAAAAAATAAAGTTGTCAATTGTTTTCTTATATAAAGTTTCAGAATAGCTAATAATACTTGTTTATATTTCTAATAATGCCAATTTTAATAGTACAAAAATAATAAAACAAACCTAAGGAACATTTTTTTCCAAATGTTTGTTCATATTCTATATCTATAAACAGTAAGTCGTTTACAAGCAATTGTTTGTGTTTTGATTGTTTTATATGCTGGATATTCTAAAAACACGGCAAGGGTGTCGATGAAGTAAATATTTCTTTTCGAAAGCGTCAGTACAAGGAAAAAGTTGAGAATCCCTGCTGTAGAAGTTTGTAACATTTATACTGAGACCCATCAATGTTAAAATGCAATGACTTTTTGTCGTCGTGAACTCGGAAACGGAAGAAAGCCATCGCCAGTCGCCTTCGAGAACGCACCTGCTCGGGCAGCGGCACACCGTTGACGAACGGGTGCGCGTTGGGGGCGTGGCCGGGCGGCTGCGGAGGCAGCGCGGGGCCGGGGCCGGAGCCTGGGCCGGGCCCGGGCTGCGCGCCGCCCATGGGCCGGTCGAAGGGGTAGGGCGGCGGCAGGCGAGTGCTGGCGGTGGCGCCCGGTCCGGGGGCGGCGCCGGGAGCCGGCGGCGGGGGTGGGGCGTCCAGGTCAAGCGGCGGCAGCGGCGGGAGGTCGGTGATGCGCGGGGGCCCGCGGTTGTTGATGCGGGTGCCCATGGGGCGAGGTGGGCGCGCGCCCGGCGCCACGGGGCCGCCCAGGTTGGTGTTGGCCTGCACCTGCGCACACGACATAAGATAAGAAATAGTCAACAAATCTCCTCATTATAGCGTCTCAAAATAAATGTTATAAACTTCTAGGGCTTGTAGGGCGTTCAAATATGATCACGCTTTTACCAAGCCGCATGTGGCAATTCCATATAATGAACTTACACATGTGTCATTTGCCCTTGATTGTTAGTTAACTGATATTGTTCTGACGTAAATAGATTTATTGTACCTCCTGACTAGTGTAGGATGAGTAGCTTACTAATCAGGGTAAATGTCACATGTGTTACTTTATTAAATGGAATTTCCCTACCATGTAGTAATTGGCGCAGCTCTACATGCCCTAGAAATTTATAATAGTTATTCTGAGACAATTAAATATCTAAGAAAGATGTTAGTTTTGTACCGTTTATAAGAAATCATTGCCACAAATTTCCCTCATTGCTGTACATATGGAAGATTAGCCCCCCTATCTCTGCATAAAACAGTTTCAAGAGAAAAAAATAGAAGTTAGCTGACTATGATAATAACGAAAGTGGTGGTGCCCATGTAATTCACATCACATCTTATCCAGAGGCTGATTTTAGCACGTTTAAATTCACACCACACGTTATTATCGTAAGCTCTCACAACCAAGTTTCCCCCGAAAAGACACGAGTTATGATTCTGATACCGTAATCTACAATAAGAGAATCTTTTGGACGTTTTACATTTGGGAGGGGTCGGGGGTACCACCGTTGTAGCAAAGGTTCTCAGAAACGTTCAAAGTTGAATTCCAGTACGAACAATTTTTACTTTTAAAACAATTAATCACCCAGCATACAATGTTCGCACGGCAGTTAAGCATAAATGAACAACTCATTTGAAACTGTGAATTCATCAGTTGTCCTTTAAAACATGTTTATCATTATTTAAGCAAGTTTTCCAGGTGCTTTATTAAAACGCTTCCTTTTGCAGAACCGTAACGGGCTCATACACATTCGGTTTACTCGCACACAATATGAGCGTTCTGTGTACATTTCGTGGGTTATTCGACGAATTTGCGAACGTTTTCCGAAGACCCTACCACAGACGTCTAATTTTCCTCCAGTCCCAGAATTAAGAAAACGTGCCCAGAATACAATTCTCTCCGTAGCACGTCACACAGTTTTTAACTATTTTTCACGTAAAATAAATAAATAAAATGTAGGTACCTTGACGTTCCCGTTGAGCAGCTTGACGATGCCCGTGATGATGTCCTGGATGTCGGGGTTGGTCTTGCGCTCCTCGGAGCGGCCGGTGGCGTTGGCGGCGGCGGCGGCGGTGGACAAGGGGCCGAATGCCGCTTCCCCCCTCGCGCCAGCCTCGTCACCCAACGCCCGGGCGCGCCCCCTGACCCGCTCCAGTTCCGTTTCGCCACCCGCCTTCTGCAAAGCACACACCCACACACCGCTCCGTTTAACCCTTGGACTGAAAACTCTGTTATCCCAACGCACATTTTACCATTTTTTATTACCTTTTCTAATCCCATTGTGTAATTCTGTTATTTGATGGTCACGAGTTGCATAATGATACTCATTACGATACAGACTCCATTATGATACAGGTTCTTAACCAATCACAGAGAACCTAGTATTGACAATTAATCATTGAGAATCGTTCTAGTAAATGTTTCGTTCGATTGTGTGCATTATAATTGCATTTAATATTATATAATGCTTTTCAGTTTTACTTTCTTTTATTATTGGTATTTTTTCGTGTAATATTATTTAAAGTAAATTGAATCGTAATTTAACTTTGATCCTATTTGACTAGCACAGTACTACGTCGCAGGCGGTCTGTTAACCAAAGCCACCTGCGGCAGGACAGGGTAGGATTGGGTTAGGGAGCTGTCCGCTAGGTGGCCTTGGCTGAACATGTCAACTTCCAAGAAACGATTCAGTGTACAAGTCAGTGTACAACTTATAAAAGTTACTATAAGTGATAGAAAAAGTTCCATATGAAACTAGATGTAATGTGGATTAATACACTCGTGTTTTACAAAATATTATATAAAAAATATAGATGATAATATTATATAAATGTATATACTGTTTTGTAATAACTTGTACCTATTTTTTTATAACTCATGTATTAATGTAATTTTATTTCGGTGTTTATAATTTTAGCTCCACAACACACTTTATATACCAGATAACAGCTTTAATTTACCATATTCAATTGGTTATGAATTTTGCAATTCCATGACTAATTTCATTCTTTCTCGCCCACATTCATTATTTCTCCATTCTGGAACCGGTATTGAGCTACCTTCATGTAATTATGATGAATGACATGATTGAACGCGAGGCAAGGAAACAGCAGAATGCCGAGAAAAATTTCTGTGAACTCGCTTTGTCCACTAAAAATTGCCCATGGATCTACCAGGAAATGGACCCCGACCTACTGGTGGAGAGTGAACACCCCATTAAAGACGGAGTATTGAACGATAAAAACTGTGAAAATGTGGATCTCATATTGAGGAGGGAAAAACCCTACATTTTGCTATGGAAATTATGGCAGAGAACGTCTCATCAATCGCTCAATGGATCATGAGAGGCGATGATAAATCTAATGAAGTTGAGGAGCATTTACCCAGAAATATTTTAAAATTTCTTTTACAAGCATATAACGTGTTTTAGAACAATTTATTAAGAAAAATTACTGGTGAATTATAATGAGACCAGATTCACATCCTCTACTCCGTATTGGAGATAGACACTTCAACCTCCTCGTTTGTGTTCCCCGACATATACCTAGACCGCAATCGAACTCAATCGTGGGTGATATGACATCTTCTGTCATTATTTTATCAGTACCTAGCCTATCGCCGAACCTGGATTGAACTAAAGATTTGAGGAAGTTGAGGTGATATGCCTTGATGTGATATGATATGATAGGGTGTAATAAGACACATGGGAAACGGGAGAACGAGCAAAGTTGCAGCAAACTGGCTTTTGCAACCACAAATTTCATAAGGATCGACCGGAATGAGAAGGTGCTCAGATTCATGAGCACTTTGTGGCTCGTTGGTTAACGTTCTCGCTTTCCACGATTTGGGAGAGGACAGATTCATGAAGGTTCAGTGGTCTGCTCGCTTCAACACAGAGTAAGTTACGTGCGTCGGAGCCCTTCGCCTATCGTCTCGTTCCGGCGCGACGGCGTGACGTACCTGGGGCGTGGCGGGTGCGCTGCCGTCTCCCTGCGCGATGCTCCAGATCTTCTTCACCAGCCGCTCCTCCTCCTCCAGCTTCTCCTGGCGTTTCTCCTGTTGCTTGTCCGCCTCCTCCTCCTCCTCCTCCTCCTCTTCACGGGCAGTCGCCGCCGACGAAGCAGTGGCCGTCGGCGAGAGCGGGGGCCCCCGGCCGCCCGCGCGGGAGGCCCCCTGCTCTTCCCCCGACGGCTCGCCCGTCCCGGTGCCCGTCCCCGTCCCCGCTCCCGGCGCCGCTTCCGCGGTGCTAGTGACGTGGACGCTGCCGCCGCCGTCCGCCCCCGGGGCGTCCACGGGCCGCGTCGGGCGGATGCCGTGGAAGTAGCGGCCCGCCGTGTTGCCCACGCCCACCTGCCAACGCAAAGCGGACGCTCCAGTCCTCTCTCACAACGCCTGTCAGTTGACTACAACTAGGGGCCGGATTTCAATGGAAATGCATGTAATCCCCCTCTGGGCGGAAAGAGTGGTCTCTTGATATATGGATAAAAAAGCCATTTCTACTTGTTTAAACATGATTTTCAGATGCGTGTATTGCATATTTTGCCTGTTTTCATTAATTAAATGGGGGTAACTTATATGTTTCCGTCGTCTGTTAGAAGAACGCGTACGTTTATGCAATGCAAATATTTCATATGTGTGTGTATACAATGTATGTACAGTACGTACGCACGCTTGCAATGTGTATGTGTGTGTAAATATATGATTTTAAAACTTATTATTCTTATCGATTCATTTGCATAGGTAGTCTTGATGTTAGTGTTGTAGTAGTTGTATGTTCTATTCTTGTGTTGCGTTGTATTTGTTTTGTATTATAAACCTGGCATATGTCTACCACCTAGCATTGAATTGAATTGACTTGAATTTGCCTTATTTTACGTGGCGAGACTCGGGCCATCAGGCCCGCTCTTCCGTCTACCCACGCAATTCGCTACGCTCCTTCACAACTAGGAAGAAAGAGTATTCTTGGGGAAAACAGGCATTTGAAATTTAGCTTCAGAGTGCATTTAGGCTGAGCATTCAATTAGCCCAAAAAATATTGCTTTTATTATTATTATATTATTATTTTATTATTATTATTATTATTATTATATATAATACATCATTCCATTATTGTCGTTAGAAAAACGAACGGGCTGACGAATGAAAAGGGTGGAGCATCCCTCTCGATTAACCTCGGCTTAGGGCTGGACCACACATCGTTGTTCCAGTGGTGGTGGCGTCGCGGAACTCCAGCTCAAGCTCGGGCGCGCGTGCCGACGGAGGGCGGCATCGGAAGCGCCGGCCGCGGGCGCGGACGCGCGGGCGGCGCGGGGGGCACGCTGGGCGGACCAAGAAACTGCACCGTCGCCCGGCGCGTCGCTCGCCCCGCGCCCGCGCCCGCGCCCCGTGTTGGGACGCGACTCGCTGATGAGACCGCGCCGCCGCGGAGCGCGTGGCGGCGGGAGGCGGCGGGCCGGCCCGGGGGCGCTAGCGGGGCTGTCGCCGCCTCCTGCGTCGCTTCGCCTGCAACGGAGGAAATGCGTGTTGAGGGACGCCGCCAGACTCAAGTTCAAGGTGGGAGCTCTCAGCGCAGACACAGGCATTGCACCCCTAATGCAAGAGGGCCACATATCCGAAAAATATTGAGAGATAATTGAGATACGTCCATTGTCTTTGTCTTCCATTATGGGATATGCAACATTGCAATTTTTCAGTTTCATAAATAGCCAAGTAAACGCAGTTCTATTGAAAGCCAATGTCTGTTTTCAAATACCTTCGGGAAAACTTCCGAAGGCTCTCTTGCGAAATGGGTGATTTTGGACTTGTGGCTCTGTTGCTCTTGGGGTGCGATATTCAAATTCTGCTGAACACCGGTACATAAGAACGTCCGGGGCAAATGTCACAACTGTTAAATCCGTAATATGAAATTTCCTTCCAAAATATTCATTGGGGAAAGTTTTTATTTTCGCCCCTCTACATGCCCTACAAGTTTGTGACGTTTTAGCATGCAAATACAAATAATATTATATATTAATATATTATTATATTATATATTTATATTATTATATTGTATAGAAAAATATAAGCAGGCCAAACAATAAGAGAGGACAAACAAATATCTTCCATACGAAATTGTCCTTCTCAACAAACAATACGCATTAAAACGAGCTGCCTTGGTTATTTTCCGGCATATGACTCATCTCACATAGTATAGAAATTTCGTTTTTCATTACGCGTTCATGTTGTGTATGTGCCACGCACAGGTGATGTTACTCTCAAAGTCGTTATTTTTTATACAGTTCGCTCAGAATAAATGTTACCGTTCAAACTGTTTAGAGATCTACAGGAAACCGAAATGATAACCTTTTAAAAATGAACACATGGTGGTAAATTTCAGATAACGGATTACGTATGTGACATTTGACCCTAATTGTCGGCCAACTATTAATGCACAGGCGTCCTCCAGGTCACGTTCTAATACTGTGAAGGCTATTTCATGAATCGGTCAAACACCTGTGCATGCGGGATTGCACAACATTTCGGAGCAAATATAACTTCTGTGACTTCCTAATATAGAATTTCCTATTGTATATTTATTGGCAAAAAGTGGTAGATTTTGACCCCTTTGCACACGCTAGAACAGTTTTGAACATAGAATAGTTTGTAACATTTATTCTGAGACACCTGCATAAAGATGTTTCATGCCTTCACCTTGTATGCGCGGTTTCAGCGTTAACGACACACATATGATTCGTGTCAATGGCAAAAACTCTCCACCAACAGGTTCATAATTAGATGGTAAATAAAGTATACTACGAAGGATTTTCTCTTACACGTATGGTTACTTTTAATTTTTTTTAAATTGGAAAACTTTCTAGAGTGTATATAAAAAAACTTCAAAAGCAAAGACGTCAGGTAGTGAAGATTGACGGAAGCCTCTCGTCAGTAAATTCTGTTTCTAAGAAAGCGGAGCATGGCGCTATGCTATGTCAATTGAAGCGTCTGTCTAGGAGATCGTTCACGCATTCGAGTCGTAAGGGTGGTCACCATTACCACGGCTGAAAGAGGTAAGACAGAGAGAACCTAGGCCGTTAGAACAGGCCAGAATCTTTACCGTAGGAGTCTCTAAAGAGGGTGGAAGAGCACAAAGGTACTGGAAAGTACTGGCGCGATGGCTCAGAATGAAGTTGCTCGCCTTTCACCAAGAACGTCCGGGTTCGATTCGATTCCCGTCGATTCCTGGACAATCTCATGTAGAATATATTCCGACAAAACGCGTTTGGGTGCTTGACAAGCGATAGTACAAACCCTGTGAAGTGTTCTAAACCCTCCCACGTTCCTAATTCCTTGACCACTGACTGCGAAGAGACTGGACAGCAGACCAACAAACTTAACGCAGGATTACTTCAAATACAAATTTCAACGGAGGATTATTCATAACAAGCGCTCAACGCCCTCCTAGCTGTTTAGAGACGAGGTGCGTTAGTACAGACGCAACAACTTTTAAAAAAAGTGAATTATTATTTCAGCGTTGCACTATCACAGATTTTTTTATTTGTTTAACGTCAAAAACAATTTAAAAACGTGTGTCGTAAAAGTGTGGGAGAGGTGCAATCCGCGCACATTTTCTTGAGCTTGAGTTCCCTACCCTATCTCACATGTATGTTAAGTTGTATTATAAATATACATAGTAACAAGTATTTTGGCACAAAATGGTAAGACAATATTTACTAATGTGTAATAATAACTATTTTCAAAGGTAAATTACGTAAATAGGCAGATTGTGTGTATTATCCCTATTATCATAGTTTGTTTTCCAGTACCTTTGTCTCCTAAAATGTAATCCTTTGGAGGCTCCTAATACTATAATTTTGCAAACTTTAATTTTTTCTATTTTTCACTTAAATTTCCCTCTCTCATGAGGTTTATTGAGTATTTCACACGATTAAAGAAATCATTAAGAGCACGACATGTGTTACCAGTTTGTCAGCTCTTTGATTTATCCATAAAAAATAACTATCTGAGAAATAAAAATTGAGCCCCCCAAAAAAATAATTTATATATTAGTCCCATTAATGTAGTGATTTTTTTTTATTCTGAGAGGCGGCTGTGTTCCTTCACTGTATGGCGAGATCCCTCCTTTTCCAGACAGCGGCTGAATTAGACTTAGCTACATGTCTGGTGTGGAAAATTCCTCGGAAAATCGTGTGGAAAATCGTTGGGGCACGAACACTAAAACGTCCAGTAGCTGCAAAGACATCGGCAACGTTGGCTCTGAGCAATCTCAGTCGGTAAGTCTGCGTGTGAAAGTGTAGGTATATACATTTTAAAGATTATAAGTATGTGCATGTGAATATAAATGTCATTTGAATGTGCTAGGTTGAGGACGAAGTATTATTGTTGAAAATATATTTCAATTATTTTTGTAAATTTATACGATTTATAATTCTCCTATCTGCCACTGGACATCGTGAGCCCAGTTCTAGAATAAAGTTTCTATCTATATTGCTAATTTCAGTAGTGTGTAGAAATTTAAGTAAAAATACGGAGCAGCCGACCTTGTGGGAGGTCTCTATGGTTTCGTTTGACACCCAGGTACTCGGAAACAATCCAAAAACAATGAAACGGTTTTGATTTTGACTGAAAAAAGAAGCAGCTATTTGATGGTGTATTATCGTATTACACATACCGATTGAATTATGTCACACAGTGAGTCATTGCGTATGACAAAGCGGACATCATGCGACCGGAAGTCTCGAAGGAAGAAGCGGTAAGACATTAAATATTTGCTGTTCACACGTTGCGTTATGGAATACCAACTTATTTATTTTCTTGGTATGTAAAAGCTCTGTTGCACTGAGCATATACTATGTTATTCAGTGATCGTGAAGACTTTTTTTGTTGAAGTTTAAAGCATTTAATTTATTGCAGTGTTATACGAAACATCTTATTTGCTATTCTGAAGCAGTGTGCGTGCTACTATTTGGAAAACCACTTAGCGTGGTGTCGACCAGCAGAAGTTTCGCTGCTGCAGGATATTAATCTATCTATAAGTGCCTTATGCGCGTCGCGCGGACGGCGCTGGCGGCGCCGGCGGAGCGTCGTGAATTCGGTCGCCGCGGCGGCGGCGGCGGCCGGCACGCGGGGCCGAGGATCCGGGCCGGAGCGGCTTTCTCCGGGTCTCGAACGGGCGGAGAAAGCAGTGGCGACGCTGCGACGGTCCGTCGAAGAAACCACCTGTTCTTGCGACGCATCAGCGACGCCGAGGCCGCGCGGCCGGAAAACGCAGGCGAAGCGGGTGGCCCCCTCGGTTGCCACGTGCTGATCGCAAGGCAAAGGAATACCTCCGCGCAGACGCAATTTGTTCTTGAAAACCCGAGTAGCAATATCCGGCTTGTTTGTTATCGTAGGATCAGTATGGTTGACTACTGATGTTTGCGAGCACGTCAACTGCTCTGGTCTTTAGTTCCGTTAGTGAAGTGAAATTTTTTCCCGGGAGGTGACAGTGTTTTTCCCAGCTCGTTGGTGAGATCCCGCGCCGGCCTACACGTCAACTTGCAGGGAATTTCTCTCTTCTGATATTTCCCTCCCAGCGGGCACTACCCCAGACGGAATAGGCTCTACGCTCCCTACTGAGCTCACAACATGTTTGGTAATGTACTGCATGCAAGCGTATGTGTTATTATTGTAAGGGGAGAGGATATGACGAGGAAGAGGAAGGAAAGATTATTAAAGGTATTTGGCCCGTTTATTAGGGTACTGCTCCAGCACTCTCCTCGTATCGTTCGGAGAAAAACGGAAAACTAGTTAGTGTTGTAAATCTGCCCTCACAATAATGCTGGTGTTATGGAGAAAAAATAAAATGTTAAAATGTTGCTGGGAAATATAACTTGACACACAGATCAGTCAAGTGGCATGTAATTTTTTCCGCGTAATATTTTATAATATCAACAACTCTTGACACATAATTTTGGTACTTTTTTCTCGTCTATATATAATATACTAAGGAAAGATGGTTCTGTATTATTGACAAGGAACTATCTACATAAAACGCCGTAAGTGTGCTATTCTTGGATAGAGAAATACCCCCAAGTTTGCATCAAATCAATTTATGTCAAAAAATAAAAGTTGGCAGGTGTAGATTAAAACATGTGCAGTGCAACCCACAATAGACATTACGGTGCAACACACGTTACCATCGTTCATAATGATGCGATCCTTCCGTGACTCGAGTTTTGTTTTTAATGCCCGAATCTACAAAATATAATCTTTATGAAATTCAATTATATTTTTGGAGGGTATTCACTCTCCGTGGTACGACGTAGCAGAAAATTTCTAAGTTGTGTTCCAGTATCAAGCTATTTTCAATTTTGAAGTAGTACCCGTCGCAGCAGCTATGCACTAATATACAAAACTGTCCAAGCCAGACAATAAATCCCGACTTTGAGTATAATTGTTTAAAAAGTGTGAAATATTCCAACGGTTCCAACACGTACGTTCCTAAAATACAAATTAGATGATTTGCTCAGCCTGTGATATATATGGCTAAACAGCTATCTTCCTAAGCGGTGACC